CTGCAAAGACCGGAAAAAAGTGCGTCAAGGTCAGCAGAGGGTCGCCGGTGAGGATGTGGGGCAAAAACATTGTGGGCGGAGCCTGCTCCGAGGTGGGCGGAGCCAGACAAAAAGGTCTGTAAAACGGTTCCAGAGCACTCCGAAGACCGGAAAAAGTGGATTAAGGTCAGCAGAGGGTCGCCGGTGAGGATTGTGGGGCAAAAACATTGTGGGCGGAGCCTGCTCCGAGGTGGGCGGAGCCAGACAAAAAGGTCTGTAAAACGGTTCCAGAGCACTCCGAAGACCGGAAAAAGTGGATTAAGGTCAGCAGAGGGTCGCCGGTGAGGATTGTGGGGCAAAAACATTGTGGGCGGAGCCTGCTCCGAGGTGGGCGGAGCCAGACAAAAAGGTCTGTAAAACGGTTCCAGAGCACTCCGAAGACCGGAAAAAGTGGATTAAGGTCAGCAGAGGGTCGCCGGTGAGGATTGTGGGGCACAAACATTGTGGGCGGGCCTGCTCCGAGGTGGGCGGAGTCAGACGAAGAATCTGTAAAATAGCTCAAGAGTACTTCAGACACCGGAAAAAAGTGGAGTACAGAACAAAAGGGGATATCAGTTGAGTCTAGAAATATGTGAAAGAAAGCACGCGCGGCGAAGCCGCGCCCGCCCGGCGCAGCCGGGCCGTATCAGAAGGAGCCGCGCCGGCGTCAGCCGGCGAGGCGACTGGTATATGTTATAAAACAGCAATAGGTAGAGGAACTGGACCTATAGATGAGCTCATGAGACGGAATGGTAGTGTACGCTGGAAAATGAAAGCGGTTGCTGCCGAAGGACTGAAACTGGTATGGAAATATGTTGCACCAGTCGGATCGCACGGCTAACGCCGTGCTCTCCTCCTTCTCTTGAGCTCGGCTTCGCCGAGCTGGCCTGGCTTCGCCAGGCGGCTCCATAACGGAACTTTTCGGTAGTGCGCTGCTCATAAGGCGCTGTAGTGATCGAATCGTAACAGACAGAGCAAGGCTTAGGATCCCGCACAACTCAGCACGCGCTTCTATTTACAGCAGCGGTGTAGTCCGCGCCATGACGCCCATAGAATACATAAATCTGTAGATAGATACAATGTGTAGTCGGCCAATACAGCGCAATATGAATCGCTCAGTGAAATAGCAGATTTCGTTTCCATTACCTGCACCGGAATGCCTACCGACGAACGCTTTCCTTTTCAATTAGCATGCGATCCGCTCGTTGAAGTGTTTTTCGGTTCTCCTCGTTCCCTGAGATTCCCCCCCCCCCCCC